TATGGCTACTCAGGTCTTCACTAATGCAGTAATAATGCAGTAGTGACTTGAAGAACACTAACCATGTGATGTTGTTCTTAAAAAGGCAGAAGAGGCCACGCAGGTAAGCCAGTGACTTTGAACTATAGAGAATAAAGCCAATGTCTAGTTCACAGGACTGACAACGCAATGTGTTGTAGGTGCTGGAAGACAAAGAAAACATGAATTCAGTTAAGCAATCCAGATTATGTTCCATCAATCTTTATAGTCTGTATACCTTGAATCTCATGAATGCTCTTAGTTCTGCTCATGTAAGTGAATTTGAAATCATAGAACATCAATCAGCAGTACCTTTATTCTTTCTGGACTTTTATATTTTTATATTACTCTTTTTTGTTTTCTACAATTGATATACATACATACATACATTTACGAACACACACACACACACACGGGTTTTCCTGCCAAATCCGTAATGAGTATGGATTGATGCCCATGAGTACATTCCAGGCACTGACCAAGACCTCTACTGAACTGCCCATCATGTTATTGGCGAAAAACCAATTTCCATGAGGATCCCAAAAGAAATACAAACAGTTCAAGAGTTAAGACATATACTAAATGTACATAATTTAGAGCTGTGATGGCGAACCTATGGCATGGGCACCCGAACCTATGTGCATGGGCACACGAGTCCCAGCCAAACTTACCTGCACTGTGCATGCGCCCACCTCTCAGCTGATTTTCAGCCCATTTGAGGCCGTTTTTGCCCTCCCAGAAGCTCGAGGGAAACCTCTGCAGCCTTGGAAGGCCGAAAAACAGGCCTTCCGGAAATATCGGAAGTGCCGAAACGGGCCAGTTTTAAGCCTCCCGAGGCTTCACTTGAGCCCCCGGGAGGACGAAAAAGCCCTCAAACAGGCCAAAAATCAGCTGGGAGGTGCGCGCATACGCAGTGCAGGTAAGGGGGTGGGAGTGTTGCGCATGCATGCGCAACGGGGCTAGTGTGCATTGCATTGTGGGTGCCAGCACGCGTGCGCTTTCGGCACACCATAACAAAAATGTTTGCCATCACTGACTTAGAGCATTAAGCCTGTATTTATAAGGAGCTAAGACTTGGGAAATGCTTCACAAAGCAGTGATGCAGGCTAGTGTCTCCTGTAGCCATATTGACCATGGAGGGCAACACCAGAGCAGAGGGAGAATGTCCATAGCTGATTAATATAAACCAGATTACCCCATATGTATGTATGTACGTATCTATTGGATTTATCAGTTGCCCATTTTACCTCAAGATAACTTTGAGTGACTTACAATCATAAAAAAACAAAAATCTATACAAACTAAAAACATACATAAGTTAATATAAAATTCAGAACACCACAGTCCAATTAAAAGACGGGGAAGGATTTCAGGGAGTCTGTTGTTAATTGATCAACCACCTCCACAGTGATTCTCTCCCACTGGGGCTCTAAGCTAACTGGCAGAGCAGTTTTTAGGTTCTTTCAGAAGGTCAGGAGAGTGCTGACCAGGAGCAAGATGTTCTACAGGGCTAGCAGGAAATGTTCTAACAGGAAATAGCAGAGAAGGCCATTCTGGATCCCTTCTACTGAAATAATCAGGCTGATGGGCCTACAGCATGCCTCTTCTGCTGTCATGGGTGGGATGGATCAATCCCTTTGGGATGAGATAGTCCCTCAAAGTAACCTGGATCCATGCCCTGAAGGGCTTTAAAGGTGATTACCAACACCTTGAATTGCACCTGGAAGCAGACTGGCAGCCAATGCAGTTTGTGGAATAGTGGTGTTACATTAAGAATATCAGCAACCATAATGTCAATAAAGTATGCTATGTTAAGGTCTATGGCAAAATCTTTGAAGATGTAAAATGCGACTTTAAAAGTGGAACAGCTGAAGACAATGTTCATGTGTGGTCATTTTTGGCGGGATATGAGACAGGCAATTTCATGAAGACATGGCATCAAAAAATAGCTTACCAGGTAAGGATGAACTCTTGAGGTCTTGAGGCAAAAACTTTATATGCAAAATCAGATAGAGCATTTGAAATTTAAGCATGTTATTTTAAATGATAAAGGTAGAAAATCCTAGTGTAAAGACAAAAATACTTTCCTTCTTTTAGCTGTATTTATGTTTTTAAATCTGCATGTGTTTTAAAGTTACATTGTTGTCTTACAGGCATTCAAAATACTTAACTAAATCACAGGTAAACAGTGGAAAGGTTTTCAAAAAGATACCCACCAACCAATGAGGTCTCCTTCAACACAGACCATCAAGTTGTCTTCCACAACAACATCTTTTGTGACCTCTGCAGAAAATAAGGGCAGTGTTGGAATATTAGCAATACATTTTTTTCATGTAGCTGTTTTCCACAAGTGGAGAATCCACTTTTTTGATCATTGGTTGTAACAAGAATTGACCAATTAGTTATGTCTTAATATTAGCAATAAAGAGTTCCCAAAACTAATACTTTTTGGTTTAGGCAATTATACTTTGTGATTTTGCAAAAAAAACAAAAAACCCCAATCAAACAAAACAGCCCATCACTTTTCTAGCCTCTTGGGTTGCAAGAGACAGCTAATGGTAGATGATACTCCCCACTCCCGTGACCTTTGGATGTCATACTGTCTCTATCCCTAATAAATATTCCCTTCCAAATGTATTGAAAATTAAATCAAAAATTTCAATTAAAAAATAGAGAGTAACCACATACAAGATAGCCTAAAAACCCCAATTTGCAATTCCCATTGTGCTCTAAACAAAATCGTCTGCTCTTATTAATTTATAATTTATATGCTACTTGTACATTGGACACCACATAGGTGCTTGGGCCTTCCGGTGCCAAGCTTTTTCCACATCTGGTTCTGGATGAGGTGGCACTGCCTCAAGACTGACTTGGGAAGCAATCTGAGGAGCCCTCTTGTACTCTTGGCTTCTCCTAGATGACCAGGTGATAGCCTTGGTTAAGAGGGCCTTTGCACACCTTTGGGTTGTGCCCTAATTGTGCTAGTTCCTGAACTGGGAGGCTCTGCTCATTGTCACTCATGTTCTCATGACCTCCCTTTGGGTTATTGTAGTACACTCTACATGAGGCTGCCCCTAAATAACATTTGGTACAGAATGCAGCTGCACTAGTTGTAAATATCAGCTATTTATTTAACATTATTGCTTTATGAGCTGCATTGGTTTCTAGTGGGTGTCTGGGTACTATTCAAGGTGATAGAATCATAGTTAGAAGGGACTTCTGAGAACTTTTTGCCTAACCCCCTACCAAGGCAGGAGTCCTTATACCATCCCAGACAAATGGTTTCCAATCTTTTCTTGAAAACCTCCAGTGTTAGGGCATCCATAGTTCCAGGAAGCAAGCTTTTCCACTGATTAATCCACCGGTATCAAATTTGATCACGTCACAGGCAGGATCATGACGCATCGTGAATTTTTTTGCCTTTGCAGAGGGTTAGGGCTTAGCTCCAGACCCCTTATTATCTTTTTGCTCTCCTCTCTCCATTTTCTAGGCCTGTGGCATCTTTTTTTTATATCATAATGACCAGAACTAGACATGGTATTTCAAATGTGGCCTCACTTAGTGCAGTAGATCAGCGCTATTACTTTTCGTGATCTTGACGTTGTCCTCTGTTGATGCAAGCCTAGGACTGTAATCACTTTTATGGCAGCTGTACTGTGCATCTAGTTTTTCCTAAGCGAGGACCTTGCTTTTTTCCCTACCGAAATGCATTCTCTTGGATAGGGCCCCAATACTCAAATCTGACAAGATCCTTCCAAATCTGGAGTCTCTCTTCCAAAGTGTTAGCAATTCCCCTCAGCTTATAGTGTCATCCACAATTTGATGAGCACCTTTTCAATTCCCTCATCTAGGTCTTTTAGGAAGCTATTGAAGAGCATTGGGCCCAAGACTAGTGTTGCTTTTAGATCTGTAAAGGGGGAAGAGCAGCTTATCTTGCTAGGAGCCTGCCTCACATCCGTTCCCCTCACTGAACATAACCATAGTTTCTGAGCAAATATCCGTTTCAATGCTCAGCCATTAATGACGCTTATCCAAATTATACAGAGGGAAAAGTGAAGAATAAATCCACCATGCTCCTTTAGTTAGAGGAAAACGCGTCTAAATATAAGAGTACGGTGTTCTGCTCTTACATACACAGACACCCCTCCACTTTCTGGAGACAAATGGCCAACGGACCGTTTCACACTTAAGCACAACGCGTGTATCTCCTCTACCTAGCGAGAGCCCCATAAGCATCCTGGGTGCAGATCGATTCGCATTTGCCTTACAAAGTTTCGGTGCCCCTCGAAACTTCGCCGATTCGCACCTCGACTTTAGGGAAACTCGACTTTAGCGTGTCCGTTCAAAACACCCGATCAACTCACTGAAGCAAACAAAAACCCGGAGTTTCTCCTCCTGCGCGCACAAGTGGAGCGAGTCTCCTAATACGACCCGGCAGCGTTGGCACTGATAGACCACGCAGTCCTCCAGCCTGAGTCCCCGAGCGCCCGGGACTCGCTCCCCGCGGCTCTCCTGCTTCGTTGCGCTTTTTGGGGCTTGGCAGCCGGGCTGCGTCCGGGGTCCTGCCCGCTCTACCGTGATTGTGCCGTCCACCTGGGGCTCCTTAAACAAAAGCTGCAGTTTCTTCCGTATGGACATCACGGCCTCCCGCCAAAGATTCAAACTTGGCTCCCGTCTTCCTAACTGCGCTGACTAACTGCCCTTTGAACACGTGGGGTGGGGTGGTTAAGCAAGGACGGCCCTCCCTCTCTCCCCGCTCATTGGAGAAGATGCCTGTTCGTCTTTCGCTTTTACCTAATCGAGTTGTGAGAATTCGAGCACTGAAGCTTTCGGACAAGTTTCAGAGCGGGGGGGGGGGGGGGGACACAATACCGCCCTGTTTTTTTCATCCTGGGATCTGATTGGTTTTACCAGCAAGGGCTCAGCAGAGATCTCGCTACGATTGGGAGGTTTGAAAATAGAGGCGGGACCGAAGAAGCTCTGGCCGTTGAACCTTAGCGTCGTCTCCTCGAAGGAGTTGACTGTTGAGCGTCGAAGTGCCAATCATGGAGGCGCTCTCTTCGTCTCAGTTGGAGGAGCTCAAGTACAGCGAATTGCAGTGCCTGGCTAAATCGGCGGGGTTGAAGGCTAACCTCAAGGTGAGCCCTGGGCTGGCCGGTCGGGTGGGGAAGCAAAAAACACTGGCCTTAGATGCGTACAAAGTAGCGAGCCGAAACAGCGGGTCCCCAACCAGCCCCTTTTGAGCAAGGGACGTCTTGATAGGTTCCCGCCAAGAACAAAACCTTGGAAATGGACGTAATGCGAGTCGTGGATCCTGTAGTTCGGGGTGTCGGCAACCCGGGCCCTCTGCTGCGGCTCTGTGTCCCATCACTGGTTGGCTTGCAAGCTTCAACCGTTCAGCTCGTGCATCCCAGCGCCATCGCGGCGGCGGGGAGGGTGTGCGTGCTGCCTGCTCCGCTCTTGCCTGCTGGAGCCTGGGCTCAGCCCTGCCGCCTCCCAGCTGGAGAGCTACATTGGTTTGCTTGCTGGCCGCCTCTGAGGTGGGAGCTGCGCTCACGCTGCCCGGGTCCCTACCGCGGGGGGGGAGAGAGAGAGAACAGGGGGTGTCTCCCCGACAGGATCCAGCTTGGGGGTTGCCTTATTTTGCATGGATCTCCAACACTTGGCTTTGCCTGCCAGGCTCCCCTCCCCCTCCACAGCCCAAGTGGAGCCCAAGCACAACACGTGAAGCTGGGCAGGAGAGCATGGATGGAGGGATAGATAGGTAGATGGATGCAGGGATGGATAGATGGATGCAGGGATAGATAAATGGAGGGAGGGATGCAGAGATGGATAGAGGGATGCAGGGATAGATAAATGGAGGGAGGGATGCAGAGATGGAGGGGTAGAAAGAGAGAGGGATGGATGGAGGGATAGATAGATGGATGGAGGGATAGATAGGTAGATGGATGCAGGGATAGATAAATGGAGGGAGGGATGCAGAGATGGAGGGATAAAAAAAGAGGGATAGATGGAAGGATTCAGGGATGGAGGGAGGGAGGGGATGAAGGGATAGATGAGACAGAGAAATGGAGAGAAAGAGAGACACACAGAGAGATACTAGTTTCCCACAGAAAAACAAACAGCCACAAAACTGGGGGAGTCATGTGACTGGATGGGAGTGATGTCAAATTGGCCACACCCACCCAGGTGTTGTCTTTTCTGTGGGAAACCAGTCTAAATGGCTCTTTGAGTGTTTAAGGTTGCAGACCCCCCCAGCTGTAGTTCCAGGATTGCAGAATTGTGTCTTCAGTAGACTGCTTGGATTTAATTATGGGAGTAGTCCCTTCACTAAACCAGGGCTGAACAAGTCTGATTTAGTACAGGTAGTCCTCGACTTACAACATTTCACATAGTGACCGTTCCAAGTTACAGCAGCACTGAAAAAGGTGACTTGTGACCATTTTTCACACTTACTGCCATTGCAGCATCCCCATGGTCATGTGACTTACATTGGCAACTGACTCACATTTATGAGGATGCCAAAGTCATATGATCACCTTTTGCAACCTTCTGATCAGCAAAGTCAATGGGGAAATCAGATTCACTTAACAACTGTTACTAATTTAACAACTGCAGTGAATCACTTAACAAATATGGCAAGAAAAGTCATAAAATGGCAAAACTCACTGAACAGATTTCTTACTTAGCTACATAAATTTGGGGCTCAATTGTGGTAGCATGTTGAGGACTACCTGTACTGTATTTTTCAAACTTGGCAATGATAAGTTATGTGGACTTCAATTCCCAGAATTCTCCAACCAGCATGGAGAATATCCACACGTCTTAACCCTTGCCAAGTTTGGAAAACATTGATTTAATGTAATCTCTGATTCCTCTGTCTTTATCATAATAACTGATGGAAATCTGGGTGTGATGGTAGATGGGATTTTTAAAATGTGTAGTCATCTCCCTAGCTGATATGATTTGCTTTTTCAAAGAGTTTCCCAAGGCCGGATCCATCTGTGATCCCTACACTTTTTGTAGGACAAAGATGTTGCTGGAATTAGAAATCCTGTGCCTTCAACTGGTGAGAGTCAAGAACTAGAATTGTGAGAGTTGTGATCAGAAGATATGCTGGAAGCTGAGCTAGGAAGCACCTAAAAGGGTTGCTGAAAGGCAAGGTTCCCATCCTTGAGGCAGCTAAAGTGGAGGCAAATATATCATAAAAGTGTTACAGGTTTTTACATCTAACTGCGGTAACTTGATTTAAAACAGCCCTTTTTGATAATTACTCTCAAATGATTTTCTCTTAGGCAGCCAAGCTGTTAAATGCATTAAAGAAGCACTTCTGTGAAGAAAATACGGTAAGGGCACAACATTTTGACAATTTCATTAGCATTATATCCTCTATCAATGGTATCTTAAAATAGAGTAACTCCTGTTCTTTCCATATAATGAAAACACATTTAGCTCTGTGGCTATGGATCTGATAGAAGTAATTTCATATCTTACTGGTATGTTCATCTGATTTTTCTTTAGCATAACAGTTTTTGGGGCATGAACTAGTATGAACAAACAGCTTATAGGCTGTTGAATAATACCTTATGGTTTGTCACTGAAATAAATATGAAGATAATAAAATGGCTATATCTGTTTGTGTAGAGTATCAAAAAGACATTCCCATCCCCAAATATCGAGGAACAGAATGGCAGTCAAATTTTCATAAATTCATCCACAATCACCAAAAGGCGTAAAAAACAGAAAAAAGATAATGTCCAGCTAACTACACAAGAAAAACTTAACAAAGAAAAAATGGAACTGGATTCAGAGAAAGAGGTGATACTATTTATATGAAATTGTAAGATGCATAAAAGTTCTTAGTTTTTAAGTTAGGTTGATTTATTGTGAATATCAAGAGCTACAGAAGAGTATAAAATAGAAATATATCTCTTAGTAATTTATGAACTCGAACTTTTTTGGCTTTATTACATTAGTAATCTATTCACTAAAGCCGGGCTGAACAAGAGTGATTTAGTATGTGTTTCAAACTTGCCAGATATATTGCCTGTCTGATAAAATTGAGGTGAAACCCCATTATATACTTCCAGTAATTCTTCTGGAATTATTTTGTGCTCCCAAATTTATAAGATACAAAGCATTTCAATTTTAGGTTGTGCTCCAGTATATGGTTTCCTGAGTTTATTTCAATATATAGATAATCCTTAGGTTATAATGGCAATTTGGCTTGGGAATGCCATCACTAAACAATGTGTTTAAAGCATGACTGCATTGCTTAGGGACACCTGTCCCAGATCATTAAATGGGAAGAGGGAATTTCAGGCAACGAAATGTGGAATGGGGGCTATCACTGCCTGCATATATGTAAGATCCCATTCCCCATTTTATGCTTATATAAAATTCCACTTGGATTAAATGAACCATCAATAGATCTATTTGTATTTAAATAAGCATTTATAGTGGAAGGAAGAGACAATTTGACCTATATTTTTGAACTTTAGGTTCCGATAATGCTAAATTGTGAAGGGAGCCCGGAAGCAGGATTTGAAAAGATACTGAAGATAAACCAAAATGATGAATCACAAAGCAGTGGAACAGCAGGAAACCTAGAAGACTTTGTCACTCCATGTCAGCGAAAAGCAAGAAATTCTACTAGGCAAAAAGGAGTTGAAAGTAATTTTCATTTATAAGTGGAATACTTGTTTTGCTTTGTCATTTAGGACAAGTGTGTGGGCAACTTATTTAATCTTTGCTACTCACTTTTGTCATCTGTAAAATCACATAGAACTTTCAGAATATGAACATAGATTGAAGGGAACAAAATCTGAGAGCAACAGTATTCTGTGTTGTCCTGTCTAACCATCCAGCTCTAAACTTAATGTGATGGAAGCTTGGATATCATAAATGTGCAGTATTTTGTAGTATGTTTTAACTCCAACTAGATAACCCATATTTCAAGCAGATAGTACCTACTACAAGTAGTCCTTATTTAACCGTTAGTTCAGTGATTTGAAATTATGATTTCAGCAAAACAAACATTTTGATCAATCCTCAAAATTATGACCCATTGCTGCACCCCATAGTCCCATGATAAAAAATTTGGGTGCTTGGTAGCTTGCCTGCATTTAGAACCTCAACATGTGCTTAGTAGCTTGCCTGCATTTAAAACTTCACCTATTGCCACTGCTTCCTATCTCCTCTGCTTCCAGATGACCTTTATTTTTCTCCCATTGCTGACAACACGTGTCCAGCTGAGGCAGCTACTGCCACTTCCCAAGGCAGACACATGTAAAGTATTTGGCTAATGACTCAGTAGGAACCATTGTTGCCAAGTGGTCTTTTCACATGATGTTTCATCTAATGACTGTTTTGTTTAGTAATAGAAATTTCAGTCCCAATTAGGGTCATTAAGCAAAAACTTCTTGTATAATAACAAACTGATTTTAAAAATGCCTTTGTATCCTCTACCTTTTAACTTAGCAGCTTGAGCGAAATAATGTAACTTAATGCTGAATGAACACATGAGCTGTGATGCTTGGTGGAAATATGCAAAACTTAGTTTGACCAACTTAAAATTTGAGTTTATGAATCTTGTTGATTATTTCATATGTTTACCGCAGGTAAAATTTTATTGGATTCTCTTTCTGGAAAGAAAACTACTAATGCAGGAAGCAAGTCTAAATTGAGAAGAAAAGGAATAATTTCTACCACCCCAGGTATGTGTGTAAATATAATGACCGTATGCACAGAATGTTTACTTGTTTATAAATCAAAAGACTGGAGATAAATGGGAAAATGTATTACATTGGAAACTTTTCAGCAACAGCCAGGAACACTCCCCCTCAATATGAAAAAATAATTACTTTAGTCTATAGGCCCGTGATGGCAAACCTATGGCACGTGCCACACAGAGCCATTTGTGCTGGCACACGAGCCGCAGGCAAACTTACCTCACTGCGCATGCCCACGCCTCACAGCTGATTTTTTTCAGTTGGTTTGAGGCCTTTTTCAGCCTCCCAGAGGCTTGGAAAAAAGCCTCTGCAAGGCTTCTCAGGCCAAATTATAGGCCCGTTTCATCACTTCCTGTAATACTGGAAGTAATGAAACGGGCCTATAATTCAGCCTGAATTATATGCTACTGGGAGGCAGAAAAAGGCCTCAAACCAGCCAAAAAATCAGCTGTGAGATGCAGGGGTGGGGGTGGGGCTTGCGCGTGTGTGCATGGGAGTCCTGGGGAGAGGGTGTGCTGGCACGTGTGTATGGGTGTGGTGGTATGCTTGCAATTTTTGACACATCCCAAAAAGGTTAGCCACCACGGCTATAGGCATTTAAAATCAGTGTTCTGTTTAAAAAATAGATCGTATGCATATAATATATAAGTGCATATGATTGCACATTATCCTCTGTCCTTCCTTTGGTGACAGCAAAAAAGAATAAAACACTATGCGGATAGGGTGAGCTAAAAACATGTTGAGACTGCAGAGAAGAACAATAAATAGGATTGGGACTGGAGACTAAAACATGAAGAATAGTTGCAATAACTGGGTATGTCTAGTCTAACAAAGAGTAGGACTATGGGTGATATGATAGCAGTCTTCCAATGTCTAAGAGGCTGTTTCAAAGTATGGGATCACCTATTCTCAAAGCACTTTAGGGCAGGACCATAAGTAACAAATGGAAATTTATCAAAGAGACATCCAACATAGATCTAAGGAGAAATTTCCTGACAGAACAATTCATCAGTGGAATGGCTTGCTTCCACGAGTTTGTCATCATCATAAAAGATTTTAAAGAAGATATCGGAAAATCATTTACTGAAATCGTATTAGGTCTCCTCAGGCATGATATTTTTCCGATTAAAATCGGAATTCCGATTTTTTGGGGAATTGCCCGGGCGGGGCGAGCGGCCGGCGGGCGGGGCGAGCGGCGGGCGGGCGCAGCGAGCGGTGGGTGGGGCGGGCGAGCGCGGCGGGCGGTGCAGGGGGCAGGCGGTGCGAGAGGCGGTGCGAGCGGCGGGCGGGCGATTTCTTGGCGCGCGGTGGGGGCAATTTATTAATGTTCAAATTCACAGGCAATTTATTAATGTTCAAATTCACAGGCAATTTATTAATGTTCAAATTGGATGCCACTTTGTTCTAAATGCTTTCTTATTAATTTCACACATGACATTTGAATATTCCAAACTATAGCTTTTTGTTAAAAAAAAGTTAATGAAATGTGATTGGCCTATGGTAGCAGCCCCCAACCTTTCAGCTGCCAGGGACTGATTCCATGGAGGGTGGTTTTTTTGTGGACTGGGGAAGGCTGGGTTTGTGTGCTGCCTAGATCCTGTACATGTGCGGATGGGGCTTTGCTTACTTCCACAGACCAATTCCAGGCGTGCTATGGACTGGTGTTGGTCTGCAGACTAGGGGTTGGGGACCCCTGGCCTATGGGACTTAACTTTTGGTATGCCTTATATATGCTATAGTATTGTTTAAATTAGAATGAGTAAAAGCTGAAATAAACATTCCAAAATAAATGTACTTTTTTGTTTAAAAATAATAATTTGCCGCATTTGTATGTCTTCTCTGGCTGTGCCTTAAAACATTTGCCCATGAACCTATTACTTAAAAAAAATAGCTGACTTATTTCAGTATAGGTAAATATTTAATCTTAATATTAAGCTGCATATTATAATGAACTGGCAATAAAGATATGAAAATTTTGAATAATAAACTTTTCAATATTGTAGATTTTAAGAAAATTCATGAGGCTCAGTTCAAGAAAATGTTATCTATTGATGAATACATTGAAAGGAAAAATAAAATGATGTGTAATTTCAGCAATTCAGTTAATGAGATCAAGGTAAGTGATATTTTTCCTGCCCCAATTACATGGATTAAATTGAATTAAATTGCAATATGTCCCTCATTCAGTCTTATTTACAAGAACGGGTGTATAGATGCCTTTTTAAAACAAATTAGCCTATCTTCTTTTTGGATGTAGCCTTATCAATTTGTTCTGTGAGCCTCTCAAAAAATAGGGACAGTTATGTCATGGTCAAGCTTCCCATTTACTGGAAATATTGAAACCCTGGCCAATTTAATCAGACTTCCATCCTTCAAAGGTTAAGTCTAATGATTCGTTTAAGGCAGGGGTCTGCAACCTGCAGCTCTGGAGCCACATGCGACTCTTGGCCCTTTGCTGTGACTCCCTGTCAGCTGATTCCACCACTGGCTGGCCCATCCTCCTGGTCTGAGAAGGTAAGATGATGGCGGGGGATGGAGACCTCGCTCTATATTCCAGAGCAGGAAGTGACTGGGTGGTAGTGAGTGACGCCAAGTTGGCCACGCCCACCCAGTCACTGGTTAAATTATTGGCTCCCGGTGTTTTTTTTTCCTGTGGGGAAAAAAGTCCAAATGGCTCTTTGAGTGTTGCAGAGCCCTGTTTTAAGGGATCAATTTGTTCACAGTTCTTGAAGACCTGTTCTCCAATAATAACAATAGGACAAATAATATCTTTGCTTAACGAGCAGATACCAAATGGTGTGTCCTGCTTACGTATATAACAAACAGGGAGAAAGCCCTGAGATTGTGTTGTGTTGCATAGGAGGCCTTGCTGTGGAAATATATCCCCCCCTCCCCTGTAGGTGTAGGGGAAAGCCATTGTGTTCAAAATAGCAAGCAGTTAAGATAATGACGAATAAGAAGCAATAGTAATTTTACTTCTTCAAACATATAGTTGGTCCAGAAATTAAGGACTGTACAGATTTGTGGGAAACATTGTTTAACATTTCAACTAGTGATTCCCATATGATCAGACATTCAGTGAGCTAGCTAGGGTAGAAATTATGTCCTGATTACTCAGTTTAGTGGACACTCTTCCAGCTGTCATCTCTCAGTCTATAATAATTAACCTTTTGTGGAGATCCTGTTATGAATGCATCTGACAGAAATAATTCTAACTATACTGAGAGCTTTATTTTCTTGGCTTCAGAGATGAATAGATGGAATGAGAGAAGGATGTTTTCAATTAAGGCACTAAAGCTTAAATATGTATTTGGGTGAAAGATACCTGTCATAACTCTTGTCTGATTTTCAGTAGGAAGTGAAAACGTGTAACGTGTCTATATACACTTTTTGGTTAGAGTACTGTTTTTTTTTTCTTCCTATCATTTTCCAGCAAGTGTGCAATCTGCTTTTTTGTTTCTGATTTACTGAGTGTTGATCTATATTGGTTATGACAGGAAATGACTGATTGGCTTGTGGTCTAAGCCTGATGTTGGTTGAGAAAGAATAAAAGAATGACTGACCGACAGTCACCTAATTGGGTTTAATGTATAAGACAGAACTAGAACACATAATCTCCTGGTTTCTAAGCTAAACCAAACTGGTTCTCTAGTTAGAATATTGATATGATACAGCTTTTTTGTTGGAGCTATTAACTTTGAGGGTAGTTGGTTCTCTCTGAGTTGGTTGTTTTCTTGCAGATGTTTTATTACCCAAAGTAGGTAACATCAGTGCTACTGATGAATCTGGTTTGCTCTCAATTTATATTCTTCTGGTTTGTCTATGAGTGTTGCTGGGCTTGGAGCTTTGATTGGGCTGTTAAATTGTTGTTTGGCAGTTTCTTGATTGGGTATTGTTTGCTTGATTGTTCTGGTGTTAATCTATGCTCATCTGGGTGTTGATTCTGGTGGGGAGTGTTTTGCTCTCTTTTTGCTCTCTTTTTGGCTTGCTGATTGTCTCTTTTTGCGCAGTATATATAGATATTGTTTATGTCTAGGTATCTATTGATGGCCAATTTATCAGAGGCCACATTCCAAGAAATTCCATAGCGTTTTTAGACTTGGCTGGGTCTATCTAGGTCTAGAATAATCAGTTGCTCAGTTGAAACTATGACTACATTTGTTCACATTTTTGTGAAATTAAAGAGTTTCCATCATGTCGTCTGCCTACTGTAGGTTGATGTTCTGCTAGTCTTCTGCCTGTTTGTCCTACATAATGGCTGCTGCAATCTTTACATTGTATGTTGTAGATGAATCCTGTTTTTTTCTTCTGGATCTGCTGGGTCTTTTGGTTTACTTAGGATGTTTTAGAGGACTGTAATTGGTTTCTGTGATACACTGATTCCATGTGGTCATAATAGTCTGTTGGTGGTTTCTGAGGTTTCTGATATATGGCAGTGTTATCCTTGGGTAATGGAATATTTGCAAGAAACGGAGGCAAGCTCAGAGATTACCAAGAACCCCTTATATCAACCCTCGGCTACAAATATTCTCCTTTATCAGGTACCTATTAACTTTGGAAGCTGTGTTTTGGGCTGACTATAAAGTAACTTTAGATTTTCTTTTAAGTTTACAGAAATTTTGGGTCAAATTCTGGCTTATGGCCATGTTGCTCTTTTGTTGCTCTTCATGTACTACTCAAAAGTCTCTCAAAATTCAGGAACCTTTCCAACGACTATATTGAGCTCAGGCTGAACATCACAAGAAACCCATGACTTAAAAACAAATATAAGTTCCTGATTTAAGTTTCCAATGTTTGTTGTGGTGATAGAGGAGCTGGAGCAAAGAAGAAAAGCAGTACTATTTTTAAAAAGATTTTACCTCTGTTTGACAATTTATCTCCATGCCTAGCATTGGTTTTTAAAAGCATCCTGGTATTTTATTATGAGCAATTGATAAGAGGAAAAAAAACATCCTAAGTCTCTAATTGCAGATCCTGACTAAGAAGACTCCGAAGACTTCTCAGAAAGAAAATCTAAATACCAATTCAAAGGTAAGGATAAAATTTCTGTTAAGAATTCCCTTTAAACTTCCTTTCAACTAAACCATATGCTAAAATGTGGAAATATCCCTCATCTTAGCAGGTACGTTCCAGTCCCAGAGGGCTTTTATTAAGTCCCCCTTCTCAAAAGAAACTGCGACGTTCAATACGCAATTCCCCTGGCACTGCAAATAAAAGTATTTTGTCTCAAAAATCATTTTTCGGTTCAACCAGCCTTTCTACAACTAAAATGAATGTCAGGTAAGACTATATGTGGCATTATATAAAAGTAGCTTACATGTGGAAATGTGTGAATTACCAAATTTAAGGTCATGGAATACAAATTTATATATTTTCATAAACAAAAATACTTTAAATTGTTTGGACAGTCAATTTTTTTTTTTTGCATTTTCTCAGTGTAAAAATGATGTAAAAATCATTTGAGAGAATAATTATATGTAGAATCTACAAAAAGTTTTAAATACAGAGAATTCTGAGTTAATTCCAATGTTTTTTCTGTCAGGATATTCAAATGTTTCAATATTTTATATGCTCCTAGTTATTTGGAAAAAGTATATAAAATTATGAGCCATTAAATACTATAAATCGATGTTTTTATTAGGTTCTCTGAATCTACAAAAGACAATGAAGAGAAGCGTTCCCTTATCAAGACTCCATCTAGGAAATTTTCATTTCTGAAAAACTGCACTCCAGATAATCAGAAAAGCAGTGAATGTATAACTAGCAAAGACTTCAAAGAAGAAGCAACGAAGTGTCAGACAACAGAAACTTCAACAAATTCTGGTAACTTTTCCAAAGAACTATGATTAACAACATGCAGTTCATTTACATGTGATTGTTGTGGAGGACATTGATGCAGAATCTTTACTGTCAAGATGATGTTCCTTTTGATTCCAGTGTGTAATTTTATACTATGCTAATTGTCACCAGGGGTATAAAAAGACTTCTTGTAGTGTAACTTCCCAGTTTAAACTCGAAAGTTAAATGAGTAATAAATTTGGTCTTATTGCTTATCAATACATTGGTTTTCTCCCTATAGCTGTCACTCCTTTCAAGTTTATAAATCAGACTGTGGAACCCACAAGCGCCAAGAAACCAGTATTCGATTTACAAGCAAGTCTATCAAGACCACTTACTTATCAGCCACACAAAGGTAGCCATAGTTTTAAAAATAACTCAGTGTAAAACAGCATGAAAATATCAGCAGTTGCAAACAAATTGAGAATAGTCACATACTGCCCGCAACTTGCCTTGATTTTTTCCAAAGGTAATTTATACATATTAATGTATATCATTAATCTCAACTTAATCTATCATGTAATTTGACATATTAATGAAAACTAAGTTAAAACAAGCTACATTCCTTGTTTTTTGAGTTCTTATCTCACACAAGTATATTTTTGGCTGGTCTATTGCTAATAAAGTATCTTGTTTCTTGGCTATGTATTAACTTGACTCACATAGGCAAAATCTTCTCACAAAAGAAACACGGGAAATATTTGCTACTTGATGCAGCAGATGAGAATAGGAGACAAGTAACACATTTTCCTTACATCAATATAGGAAAACTGAAGCCATGGGGCGACCCTAGCGAGAATCACCAGAAACTATATTCCCACAAGAAATACTACAAAGAGCCACCTCTTCAAACCAGGCAAGTATATAATGTCAGTTCTTAAAGTCCTGTCAAGTGCTGTCATTATTATGTCATCCTCTGCCCTCATTAAATTAACACTTGGATAATTTTGAAGTTTATACCTTTTTCTTTTTAGAGTCCTAGAAATTTGATCAAATGCAGAGCCTTTCTTAAAGTTCTGTGTAGTATATTCCTTAAAAGTAGTTTGATGGCCATGTGCCAAACATTAGATCACACAAAGGCCAGGATTTCTGCCAAGTAGCTAGAAAACTTACTGTATGAAGTTTTGAATAGTTGAATTAAGTTTGCCTTCATTTTAGTTACTTGTGCATTAATGCTAACATTATTTTGTCATTCTTTTGTTTAACAGAGAAGAGAGACGGGAGAAACACATACAAGGAAGAAAACAAAGAAAAGACCAAAAGCTTACCACACTGAGGCGGCTGACTGTTTCTTAATGCTGACTTTCAAACTGTTCTGTAAATAATCTTACTATTGAAAATCTTTATCTTCTTGTAAATAATTCTCGTCTCTGCACTGAAGTACTTAAGCTATCTAGACTGAGTAATCTTATTTTAATATGAACATAGAACCTTGGTACTATTATATTCAGTTATAGTTATATAATTAATAGCTAATGCTTATCTTAGAAGGTTTAGACATTTTTTTCAAAAGGGCAGCTATTTTTTCTTCTCTCAAATCTGCTTAGTGCCTTAACTATATCCTAAATTGTCTGAAAACATTTCTCAACAACTGGATCGAAGTTGATTGTATCACACAATTCAATCTTCTGGACATAACAGCAAATTTTAAATTCATTTAATGAGATTCTTTTTTATAAAATTGTCTTAATGTACTCCTAATTAAAATAATTGTGTTTATAGATAAAAGTTCATTTTAATTTTACTATACAGCTTCGTCATATGTTGTCAACTTTTGTCAGTCAACTCTGATGACCAGATTTTTCTTTTTAAAGGTAAATTAGCATGTCAAAAAGAAAAGCTGCTGCAACTAAGTCTATGATAGAAATCAAAGCCTAACTTTTATTCTATTTTCCCCAATTGGAATACAGTGTATATTGAGATAAAATATTGGTATTTCTTACTCAAAATAGATCTTAGCTACTAAATCAGCTCCTAAACTGGTAAAAAAGGTTTCTAAACTGATTTCAAAAGATAGTTATCTCCAACTTTTTTCCTTATACAGCAAGGATTAAAATGTGAACCCATTTGTATTTTCAATGTTTCTGTATAAATATCACTTAATATGTGATATGGTTTCAATACCATTTCAAATGATAAATTAGCCAAAAACATTATCCCTGTTCATTTATTTATTGAAACACCACTGTAGATTAAATTTCATTAAGTTCTTACAACATAATTATAAAGTAATATTTTTCCTACAGTAATTTATCCACATTACTGATGCTTGTGATAATGGATTACATAGTTTACTCAATTGTGTTTTTTCTAATCTTTTGTATTTGGACCAAATTAGGAGCAGAAATCACTTATGCAACAGAGGTTAAGGTGAAATTTTGGAGAGTTGTATCAAGCAGTTGTTAATCTTTTAATTGGTTGCTCATACTGTTTCTTCAGTGGCATTATCTAAATCAAAGTTCCTGCTCTACATTTAGAAAATACTTGATGTAAAGTCTTTGATTCATCTTTAGTTGATGTAAAGATGAAAAGAATTGCCCTTTGCATTTATAGGCTTTTTCCCCCCAAACGTGGAAATCTTTTCTCACCTTTCTGTCTCTGTTACAAAAATATCTTGTTATCACACAGAAGTTTGTATTATTTAAATGTTAATTTACCAGGAATAAATCATTTTGGTATTTGAACTCCAAGGGCAACCAACCTGCTGGCTGTAGTTATAACTTCAGTCTTCAGAAATAATCTTAAGACTGACATGACCAATTTGGAAAACAGCATGTTTGAAGGCCTTATATGCTTTCTGAAAGCTCACAGCATTGTGAGAATGAGGCCGTCCCTTTCTTTGCTGAAGCTTGGGGCTGGGAGAGGGAACCATGTTGAGAATGGGTTGGATCAAGTTGAGTCCTTGTCCAAACACCAATGGGATTTGGTTACCAATGGCAATGAGAACTCTTGGAATTGCCATTGCTAAATGATGTGATTACACGAAGTCACACTTTTAAACATTAGATTCAAGAATGTGGATAGCCATCTCCCCTCCCTCCCTCTCCTCAGTGGATCACAAAACGAATCGGCCAGAGTTCTTACCAGAGTCACAAATGAAGCTTAAATTATCCTACTTCAAACAATATCTGAAAACCTAGCTTTCTGGAAAAGGCTCTAATGCTGGAAAAGTGAAAGATAGGAAAATGATGAAAAGCAAGGTGGATGGGCTTACAGTGGCAATGGATACAATTTTGGACGATCTAAAATAGGTTAGGGATAGATGGAGAATATCTAGTTGCAAGACATCAAAAACAACTTGATGGCAATTAATTTATTATGTACAACATTTTGATATTCATAAAATACATTTCTCCTTCAGCTAAAAGGAATACAGTACTTTTCTTTTGGTCAAGGTAACCTAACCAACTGTAGAAAACTACATGTTAAAAGTAGGATAAACTTAGTTCTGTTTCTTATACACATTTTTCATTAATTGGAGGCTGAGGAGCATGTGCACATTAGTTTTATTTCCCACCACTGTTTAAATCCAGATGGCTAAATAGCTGTGTGCTAGATGACACTATCATAGACATTTTACTAGGTTGATTTGTGTTGTTTTTCCATAACTAATTGCTTATGTAGCTTGTATTCACTGATAAGTCCACTATTCAACTGTGGATTAGTATTGAATGGCATGCAATTGCAGAAATATTCTAAACTGAAAGGAACAACTGTCCTCCACTTGTTCTATTTCTTGGAATTTCTTTCATAGAGTTCATAGGGAAATGCTTGTGTGTGTGATCTGTCACTGAACAATCCTATGAAATCTATATCCAGCTGGAACGGACCATCTACTTTATCAGCCAGAGTAAGTCCCAATGAGCTGATCTGTAAAACAACAACACTGAATTATTCTTACAAAAATATTGCCTAAAGTCATACAGTATTCATTTATCCTGTGTATATTAAGCCTAAATTGATGTTTTTACAACTATTTATTCATAAACAAGATGAAACCTCAACTACATAGTTCTTGATTAGCGACATTCAAAACTTTATTTAATTCAAGAAGAGAATTTCCAGAGAACTCTAAAATGTTCCAAACCTCCTCTTCCTCCTTTAGTACCCAGATTCAGCAGTCTTTTCCCCCATCAAAAATCTATGCATCTTCAAGATTGAAAACTCTGAAATAATGCATGGTATAGGCAGATGTGACCCAGGGAATCTAAAGAATTCAGCAAGGCTGTTTTTTGTAAGCATAAAGCATGGCTACTTATTAAATATATCCTTGGCTTCAAGCCTTAATTTTGTTTAATTATCGGATAAATACTTCATGTTATACATAAATGCATTTATAAAACCTGGTTTGATGCAAGCTCAAAGAACTATTTAAAATTCCGTTTTTAACTTAACTGCTAAAAGAAACCTCAACAAAGATTTGAATAAACTTGGGTCACTTTTTAACATGTATATTGCTTTAATTATTAAAAAAATCTTAAACTTTGTGAAAATGGATTTAAGATATAACAATTTATAAGTAAATTAGAGCAGTGTCTGAAAGAAAGCCTATCCAAATCTGGACTGCAATCCAGACCACACTTAGAATAAATATCACTGAATTCAAGTTAAGACTAAATACGTATATTATGCATTCATATTTTCTTTCTTTCTCTCTTTTGTCCTGGTGTACACAGAACAAAATCCCTGTACTAGTAGTAGTATTTTTGGAAGTTTGCTATTGCTTTCAACCTGGGAATGAGAGAGAATGCCTGATCCAAGGTAAACCAACTGGTTTTTGTACCTAAACGAGGACTAGAACTCAGATTTTCCACTCTTAGTCCAACACTAACCATTAAATCTAACTGACTAGAATGGATTATATGATACATACTTCTAAGCCTTGTTGCCTTTCAACAATTACACTTTATTCATTGCATAGAAGATCTGTCAGATGTCAACTAAAAAGATACTCCTTTGGTCTTTTTAGCTGCCAGAAAAAGGGAGTGGGGGAAAACAGTGCATTCCTTAAGTGCCTAGATCATCACCCAGAGTGCAAGAAAATTATTGGAGAGCATGATTGATGACTTGGAGATGGATGTGTCCCATTGGAGAATACACATCCAAGGGATGGGGGGAAGACCAGGGTCAAGGGGGAAATGAATGGAGGGAAAATGTATTTTAGTATCGGCTGCATCCAGCCAACACCAACATGTCCACTTCTAATAAATCAATTTTCTTTTCTCTGAGATGCGGCTAGAGCCTTAATGATTTGAATGGGGGTGGATTTGTTGGAGTCCTGATAGCAGAATTGTTACAGTAGAGATTATTATTTAGTTCAGGGTTGGATTCCCGATGTTTGCTGATCTTGTTTTTATATCACGCTGATTTTAGCCTAGGTTAATAATGGAATATATTCAGGAAAACCACAAAGTTCAGAGAACACCAAGAATCCAACAATCATTCTTGCATTTAATGTTTTAGTTTCTTAGATAGAAAGTAACAGTGATTAGAGTTGGGATTCAAAGAGGAAAACACAGTGAAGAATTTGATTCTTTTTCTCTCCCTATGTTACATCAGGTATGAATAGTCAGAACGAAACCTGAGATTGTCAGAAAAATGACAATTGGAATATCTTTTCACTTTAGAAGTATTTCAATATTTGGAGCCAGTTTAATTTTATATTAGGGTAGTGAGGCTGCAAATGTCCCTCACAAAATAGTACAAGAGAAGATCTAGCATTTGAATTGTAGTTCTGAAGATCTGTAGTTCAAACAGTCTGACATACCTGGGAATATTCCAGAAAAAGTGATAAAGAGTTTCATCTGTAAGCATTTCGGTAGTTACTAAGTTAGATGATGAAGTCAAAAACCAACCTGGTCTAACATTTTGTTCTTTGATTGAGAAACTGTCTTAATTAATTGGGAATGCTACAGACATAAGATATCTTAGCTTTAGCAAAATATATGATAAAAATCCTCATGACGTTGATTAACAAGCTAGTTAAATATGGTCTGAATGGTATAATTTGTGCACAGCTGACTTGAGAAGTCTAATGAAATACTGGCTCCTTATCAAACTGGAGAGAGGTATCAAATGGAGTGCCACATGGATTATTCCTGGATGATGTACTCTTCAGTGTTTTCTGTAATGAGGCGGATGAGGAGGAAGTGCTTATTACATTTCTTGACAACAAAATATTGGGTGTAATAAACACTCCTGAAAGTATTCAGGAAATGTATAAACACACATTTCTTTCCCAAGTGGATAATCTTCTGGAATTGATAAGAGTGAGTATAATAATTCATATATATTATTTTACTTAGTTTTTAACACTGCTTTTTCATTCTAGTTACTTTAGTCTAATTTAGTTAGCTACCTTGATCCCTACTAAGCAAAGAGGCCGGATATAAATCAAATTCAGTGAATAAAATAATTAAGAACTTTGATCACAGATCTTAGATGTGATTTCAAATAGCAAGTTTAAAAACCACTTACCCTATCTACCCACATTTCATACTGGCCATCCTGGATTCTCCCGTGGCTTGTAAAAAAGAACTTAGAAAATGGTACCTGTTATAAAGAATTTACATATCAGCTGAAAAATGTGAGTATTTGAATATTTCTTTCAATACATTTTTCTTTCATACATTGTTTTTGGTTTTTTTGACAAAACCACAATATACTATATATCTTGTTATGAACACTGACATTTCTATTCAATATACATTAACATCCTTTCTTTTCTTGACTGTTTTACCACACACATTTCTTAAGTAACCAATCTCTATAGCATTTAACCCATTTTTTAAGTTTCTCCTGATATAACCAATTCTTACTTTCTTACATACAACCTTTTCACTACTTTTTGCATAGTAAATTGTCTCAATTGACTACAGTTAAATAGGCAATTGTATGCTAGTTTTTATTAAAAAATATTAATTTCAATCCAAAAGTACTATAGCAACTAGAATAGTAGAACTCCATGGGTAAGTGGCCATTCTCAAGTCTTACAAAAAATTCAGGGGAAAAAAATCACATAAGAAAATAATCCTTTGTTCATGTTTCAAAAATTTAAAATCAGAGTTTCTTGCTTGCCCATTTTTTAAAATATCAGAATCCGTATTTTCTATAATAGTATCAAAAAACTCATAATTGTTACCTCAATTTCCTCCCAATATGGCCCCCCTCGGGGGAATATGAAGTAGTTATAAGAATCCTTCACTGAAGCAGGGTCATATTTGTTTGGATTGATGTTTAACATCCACGGTCTACCATCACCACGGACACGCAGACATAGACTATTAAAATTTGACCAGTCATGGAACTTTGTACGCTGAAAAGCAAGCTGCCAAAATATATAGTATTATTTTTAGTATTTCACCAATTATTACACTTGGCAAATTTTTCTTCTCCTTTATATGTGTCTTTCTTAATATTATTCTGTTCCCCACTGTTTTTTTTCCTATTAATCTGCTCTATCCTTTTCACATAACTGTCATGACAAGTGGTTTCTGTCATAAACATTAATACCTTCTCATCAGATATTTATCATATAATAAACAACTGAACACAACCACACACACATACACAAACCCGATTGCACTAACACAATTTGTATCTACCCTACCCTAGTTGAGAAAACTTTTCAATTATTCATAGACAAGATATATATCTAAATTTCCAGGCGAGTAAAATTGTGGTTACAGTGCTAATTTCCACACACACTTAGACCAATATGCCTGTGCTTATAGGTGACACTTGAGGGTAACAGAATGCAACATTAGTGCATCAGACAGAAAAATTCTAGAGACATCTGCTCCCAAAACAACACACAGCAACTTTTGATATGTTACACTGTACTACTTCACAATAAATAGTAACTGACCGTCTAATTTTACAAACCTCATCAATTTGCTTATTAATCACTATCACTGAAAAAGAAAACAAATAATCTGCATACCCCCAATGCAATTGAAGGATAGCCAAAATGGCTATGAAGTGGACTTTAAAAACAAACATTTGGAAAAAAATATTTTTTTCTTACTGAGAAGGAACAAAGTTCGCATGTGTATGCTGCTCAATAAACTGTTCCTAAGATTAAAGGCAAAATTTCTCTCAAGACAAACCTCAATCCTGGTGACTATTTGGGCATATTTGTAAGTTTTTTATTGGCAACAATGGGGAATGAACTGCTCTGGCCTTCTTACAAGAATTTTTTTTAAACTTGATTTTATCCAATGTTGGGATTCCTAGCAGTCTCTGCTGACTACTCCTCCTCTTTAGTGTTTCAAGATAATTCAAGTCAGCTACATACTGGCATCAGCTAATTTATTTAAGATTAGACTCCATTAAATGTTTTATTTCTGAGCAACCACTGACAAGATTGAACAGCAAAACTATATTACAAAAAGAACAGGTTTGGCAATTTTTTTAAAAGAAATCTGTATCTTGTGAAAAATTATAACAACGTTTTTTAAACTTTGAGATTTAAATTCTTAACATAATGGCTGACTGCACTTTATTTTAAACCACATCATTGAATAACACCTAATTAATGTAAGAAAAAATCTACTTCTGCTTCATTGGATATGCTAAAGCCTTTGATTGTGTGGATCATAACAAATTACAGACCATCTTATTTGTCTTTTGAGAAACCTATATGCGGATCAAGAAGCAATAGTGAGAACTGGACATGGAACCACTGATTGGTTCAAAATTGAGAAAGGAGTTCGGCAAGGCTGTATAATGTCATCCTGCCTATTTAACTTATATGCGGAGCACATCATGAGAAAGGTGGGGCTAGATGAGTCACAAGTTGGAATTAAGATTTCCAGGAGAAATATCAACAACCTCAGATATACAGATGATACCACTCTAATGGCAGAAAATGAAGATGACCTAAAGAGCCTCTTGATGCGGGTGAAGGCATCCGGCCTCTCAATTCCTGGCAAATAGATGGAGAAGAAATGGAGGTAGTGACAGATTTTTTTTTCCTGGGCTCCAAGATCACAGCAGATGGGGACTACAGTCAAGAAATTAAAAAGACCTTTGCTCCTGGGGAGGAAAGCAGTGGCAAACCTAAACAGCATACTAAAAAGCAGAAACAGCACCCTGCCAACAAAAGTCAAGGCTATGGTTTTCCCAGTTGCAATGTATGGCTATGAAAGTTGGACCATAAGGAAGGCTGAACGCCAAAGAATTGAGGCCTTTGAACTGTGGTGCTGGAAAAGACTCCTGTGAGTCCCCTGGACTGCAAGGTGATCAAACCGGTCAATCCTAGAGGAGATCAACCCTGACTGCTCTTTAGAAGGCCAGATCCTGAAGATGAACCTCAAATACTTTGGCCATCTAATGAAAAGGAAGGACTCAATGGAGAAGAGCCTAATGCTGGAAACAATTGAGGGCAATAGAAGAAGAGGACGGCAGAGAATGAGGTGGCTGGATGGAGTAACTGAAGCAGTCAGTGTGAGCTTAAATGGACTCCGGGGGACGGTAGAGGACAGGAAAGCCTGGAGGAATGTTGTCCATGGGCCTGCGATGGGTCGGACATGACTTCGCGACTAACAACAAAACTTAACGTAATTGGCTAGGTTCATACCAAATGATAAAAACAATAGTTAGTTTGAATGGGTTCACAACTCAAAGTCAAAACTAACAAACTACATTACAATAAATCAACAATGGCTTTTTAAATGCCTGTGGAGCAAAAATAAAATCTAATTTAATGCGATTATGATTTAGTCATTATGAGAATCTTAGCCTGATCTAATATAGATCTAACCAAAAGCATGTTATAGCATTTATAACAGGGGAATTTTTATTTTAAATATTATTTCACAAGGTATTTCACTGCGTTAGCAAACACAAGGACACTTTAGAATGTGGCATTTTCTCCAGCTAAATCAGAGGTTGTTAAAAGTAGTTCGTGTTATTAAACAAGAGAGTTATTTGAGCATATTCTGAGTGGGAGCAATTTGTAATTGCTTATTTGCGAGTCAAGGAACCACTTTACAAGTCTGTGTAAAACATAATACCACAATCCACATAGACGTTTACTTTAATTCCAAGTTAGTGACTAAAAGCCCATTGAGTTAAGCATACTTATATTTATCCTTTTCCATCCCCTCTTCTCTCCTACAATCACTGTAATGCCCCAAATCCCATTCTGATCATTTCAGAGCCCTGCAGGTTATAAATACAGATTATCTCTTGACTGCTGTTGAATGCCACCCCAACAGGAGTAAGAGTTAACAGTGAAGGGTGCAGCCCAATATATTTAAGAATGAGGCATAACTATTATTCTCCACTTTGAAAAATAGTATTAAAATGGGAATAGTATTTTTAGAAGAGAATTTTGAAGTTTTTGAAATGGAAGCCATTTTTGTTTTAAAGAATAAACCACTCTTTTAAATGTGAATATGATTGTACTCACCATTTCTGGTTTTGATATCATAGCACAATATCCACTATATTTTGTCACTCCATCACGAGGTACAGTAGTATTGAGGTTCCCAGACACAGTAGCATACTGTTTATTCTTATCTAGTTTTATACAAATTTCACTTTTCCCTCCAATCGCTGCATCAGAACCAAGTATCCATTTATTTATATCTTCTTCACTACGAAATTCCCATATTACTTTTGTCTGATTAAATATATAATCTTGTACTTGGCTTTGGTCAAATTCTTTCACAAAATCAACTACCTCTTTCTTTACAAGCCCACATTGTGTTTTGAGGTCTTCCACTACTTTCTTAAAGTTATCAATTGTCTTCCGTGGTGAAATTTTCTCAATAGATGTTCCGGGTCTCTGATAGCTACTGTACCACCTTGCACGGTGACCATTTGAAAGAGTCCTACACAAGCTACTTTGGCAATAGTGTTTGTTTATCAAAGAGAGAAAATCCAGCAACTTGAGAAATGAAGCCATAAATGAATATCGATGAACCGCTTCCCTTATCCAAACAAAGATACTGGTATCTATTTCTGATTAATGCAGTTTACCTTTACCTGTTATAATACAAATAAAAATGTTTTTAAAACCAAGATTTTAGTTTCAACCAAGATTTTAGTTTCAACCAAGATGTATATATCTTGTTAACTGTATTACCATAAGTAACACTTTCAAAAACATAAGAGCTGCATAAACAAAACAGATACAACATATTTTTTTTAAAAATATTTTTGTTTTATCATAAAACAGAAATAAAACAAAAGTGTGTGTGTGTGTGTGAAGAAAAGAAAAAGCAGTCAACAGATTAAGCTAAACATACACAATATTCTTAAAACAAAAAAAAAGACAGCCTTTTCATTTGGGATATCTTTACTTCAAAAGGAAATGAAAGAAAATAAAAATGTAATGAGAACATTATTTCTATTTGTATTTTAATAGAACTGCATACATAAACTCGGCAATGAGAACACAATCTGGAAAATACTAGTTATTTAATAAGCATTCATGAAACTTCTGTTTGCTAGGTAAAGACTTTATTGAGTCAAGATCAGTTTTGGCGATTATATGGTCAGGGCAACTACATGCAAGTTTGCTACTGCCTTCTTTCCATACATTTGGTTTTGCAGCCTAGACTGCAACTCTGGGATTTTCTGCTGGTCCCCCCATCCAACTATTAACCAGGTCAAATTCTGCTTGGTTTTCTCAGGTATCACCTAAGATTGACTGAGTCTTGATGTGTTTTTTATAAACCTTTATCTATTCCAGAATTAGGGCCTCTGATTCAAAAGATTTTCCATGGATACTGAAAGACACATCCTGAGAAGTTTCTTTTCTCTCAGAAACTCTGAAAAATAATTTTTTCAACATTTATTCACTCTTAAGGAACATTATTAAATAGGAAAAACCAGTTAGCTAGTTGTAAACCAGTCAACCCACCGAGTGGGGCAATGCACTCAGTTCGCTCCGTTTCTATCCTTCGTCTTGGCTTTCTGCTTCCTTAAAGTAGTAAGTTCACCCTTAACTTGCAACCAATAGTTTCACTTAATTCTCATTCCCAATATTGTCTGGGAAAGATTATGGTCTTTCCCAGACAATATGTGGGTACGTTCTACCAATGCCAAATGGGGGTGATGGGTACTGTAGTTCAACGGGGAATTAACCTTTGCAAATGCTCACCTTGCATTCGTCGCGTCTTTTGGCCCGAGTTCTCCGCCGGCGAGTCCAACGCGGAAAGTCGTCCGGACTCCTCAAAGGAACGACAGCTTATAACGAAGGTTCCGTTTTCTTTACGTCGCATCAATCAGGCACTGCAGAACACGGACGTTTTCTCCTCCGCCTGGAAAACCTGTAGCTTTTAATGCTTAGGTGGAGAAAGAGTAATGTTTCGTTTACTGATAGTTTTTTTTTTTTAAGCCTGGTCGAAGATAACTGACGTAAACGGCAACAGGATTACAAGGGGCTTCCAAAATCCCACCGGGCCCTCTCCTACAACGACGGGCCTGGCCAAGCTTTTGTACCGCCTGTAAAATGGGTCCTAAGCTTTCACTGGTTACAAAAAAGAACTACATGCACCCATCTAAGGGAACCACCCCAACATTGGCCTCTGCCTCCGACGACGGCTCCTTTGGGACGGGCCTGGCCCCCAATTGAACGCCCCTTAACTCCACTCCGCCCCCCCCTCCCCGCCGACGGAGGGCCTAACGGTCAGTAGCGCTTTCTGCGCCCGGCCACGCCTACATCCGACGCGTCGCATGGCGCATGCTCGGTGCCCTTTGTGTCCCGGGTTGGCTGACTGGCGGGCGGGCGAGCGGCTGCCTGGCTTTGGCAAAGGCCTGCCGCTCGAAGTGCCGCACACCGTCCGCTGGGCCCGCTGTGAGGAGGGGACGGGAGCGGCGGCGCCAGCTCCGCCATGGTGAAGAAGCGGAAAGGCCGGGTCCTCATTGACTCAGACACCGAGGACAGCGGCAGCGAGGAGAACCTGGACCAGGTGAGAGTAAGCGCCGCCGAGCTGGGCCCCGGGGCTCCATCCTCGCTTTTGCCTGGATCGCTTTTGGATGGGTGCCCTAGGGGTACCCCCGGTCGCATCCAAACGGCTTTCGTCTCTCTTCTCGGTGCCCGGGTTAGCCCGGAAGGGGAATCGTGCAGCTCCCGAGAGAGAGAGAGGGTCGCGCGGAGAGAGGAATCTGGCAACAAACGTGGTTGAGGAGATGGGAGTAAAAAATTTTTAGGGCTTTTGAAAGGCGGGGGTGTCGAGGCAGCGAAGACGAATAAGAAGAGCTTGGAGTTAGGCGAAAAGGATCCAGCCTGGCAGGTGGCAGGATGGAGAGTTATGTGGTGGCTTGGAGAGAGCCTTGAGGGTGAGATCTGTTTGAGCATCACCTGATAGCTGTGGGAATGGTGGGAGATGGGAACTGTGGGAACCCCTTTCTCTCTGCGGCCCTTCTTTCTCCTCCTAAGCTGTATATCGTTTCTTTCAAAGGTTTTGGACCCATCTCTTGATTTGCAAGCCTTGCTTGAACTTACCCACTTTCTCAATGTCCCTGCAGCATTTTATAGAGTTCAGGGACTCTATTTCTGTTTGTAGCAAAGAAGGTTCCCCTTATGTAGATTATTTGACGGTGGTGCACTTGTTGCTGAATTTTTATATACTGAGATTAATTTTGTCTCTAAGCTTGCCTTTTTCAATAAGGCACCAGGGTGGGTAACATATTCTGTCATTCTTTGACCACATGAAAAGATTCTAAATTCCAGTCGTTATGTCTTAAATAGATTTTTTTTTTTTTGTGGAAGGCTGCTTTGGTTCATCTCCATTAATATGGGTATTCTTCAGGGTTGTTCTTTGTATAAAAACATATCATAGAACAGTGAGCAACTATTGTAGAAACTAGGCCAAAATCAGTAAATGATAATATATGTTTTGGATAAGAGTAACACACTTTTTGTCTCTACTTGTATCTAACCATAGTACAAACATGCCCACAGTTGTTTTTTGTTCTGAGTCCCCATTACATTACTGTCATCTCATCTCCTGGCTATAAGAGAGACCGGCTGAAGTCTTCCTTGTGCTATCAAATTATTTTTCCTTTTTATTTTGACACCATCCAAGGACTGCTTCAGGGGAATTGATGTTCTTGTATGTGTGGTCTCTTAGGATATTTCAGCCATACTACTGGTATGAGGCATTCAGATGATCTGATAGTATATGGCTTATCAAAACGATGCCAGGGAAAGGTATCTAAAACAACTATTAGTAGATGGTTTCAGATCACAGGTTGCTTTCATTTAAGTTGTCTTCCAGATATTGAAATCCATTTTGTATGTGGGACCACTATTTTCACTCAGTTGTTACAAATATTCCCCTGCAACAAGATAACATTAAAGTGTTCATATCTGACATAATTGCTTTATTATATAAATTTACTGCCTGCTTCAACTCCTTTTCAACAAAAATAGAGAATATTTGTGTTTCTGGTCAATAGAAGGTGGGCTCATCCACATTAGATCTGTATTGAGCAATTCTTTTAAGGAATGCATTTCTACAGATTTCCACAATTGAAATTATGTTTTCCTCTTGTCACCATATTTTTAATTAGTTTTTCTTCTGATTATATTTATTTGTAAGTGCTTTTGTAATGGCTAATGCTGTCCTGTCTTCAATTTGAACGCAGGGATCATTTTGGGAAATACTATTACAATTTTGTAGTCCTTCATCCATTCTTTTATGGAATTAAAAATAAAGACAAAGTTATATGTTGTACAAGATAATAGTTCATAGCTTACAATGCTGCTAATTCTTACTCAGTCCAAACTACAACATGAGTTACTTTTATTTTGGAAGTTATGATTCTCTGAAAAATAATAAATGATTTCCAAATGTATACTGTATTCACATATCAATAAAACTAAAACCATTCTTTTTAATATGTATACTTGAAACCAATTTTACTGAATTCAGTGGAAGCAATTCTATTCATAAAATGACTAGCCTACATCAAGTACCGTGTGTTGGCACTTCCTTTTATTTTTCATTTATTGAGATATCCTTCAGATAGTCTATAATGAATCTTCCAGTCCTTTGGAACTGAACTTGTGCACCAGGGATAGAGAGGAAAAGAAAAATCTATTCTGTTGTAGAATGATACAATCCAATTTTCTCTGATCAGTTTTGATCTATGTGCATCATTTTGGTATTATGGTAGATTATGTTTGAAAATTGTACAAGTAGGAATGATTGTTTATTCTTGATGATAGAGTTACTTTGTATTTGCTTTAATAGGTTTTTATAGCTTAAGGATACAAATAAAAAATCCCAAGAATTCTATCAGTCATGTAAATTATAAAAAATAATTGGTAAATTTTGTTTAATAAAATTATTGTTTCATTACAATTAAAAAAGTAAAAATTAATACAAACTAAAAAGAACAATAAAAAATAAAAAATACAGGAAAAAAGGAAAAGGAAAGACAAGAAAAAGAAATATGTAAAGAAATGACTTCCCTCTTCATCTCAACAAGAATAAAACAATGTTAGTAACATCACCTTCTCTTGATATACAACAGATGATCTCTTCTTTCCATATCTCATCTCTTATCTGTAAACGAATCTTTAAAGCCTCATCATTCCTTCTTTAATTGTAATCTTTAATTCTGATTCCTTTTAGTGTGTGCAACCTTCAAAGTCCTACCTATTTTTCTTTTAGAATAATAAATAGCATTTTCTCATTGGAAGGATTCTTACAAATTAACTTCAGAATCTTATTTCAAATTAATCTGGACCCTTAGTCCATTTGTAATTTTCCAAAATCAATGTTCTAATTTATTTGCTGTTTATTTAAAAAAAAAACCTCTTTAAAAATGTCCTTAAATTTGTGTTTAAAATTTCTTTCTCTAAGATTTGGCGGTATAAAGCTTGTTGAGCTGAAGGTTTTTAATAGTTGAGAAGTGGTTAAGTAGTTTCCAAAAATGATTAAGCAATGAGACTCTGGGAACTCTTGAGTCCTTGTAGGGTACATTATGGCTGTGAGCTTCATTGAATTCCGTTGACTCCCAGCTGCTTGACTCACAAGTCAACCACAATAATCTTGAATTCTGCAGTCTACTTACAAGTCACAATCACATAATCTGTCCTTTATCTGAAAAAGATTGTGCTAGCCACAAATTACCATCTGGCCGCCACCACCTCTATTGCCATTCCACACCACTCCTTCAGGGACATCTACTTTGCCATAAATCCTCACCTGAAGTCCTAAGTGTTGAATATTTTGGGGTACTTTGCCTTCATTTGTAGAAAGCATAGCTGAATAATAATTTTATCAGAAAAGACAGTTAATGGCTATGGAGAGAGATCCTCTGAGTTTGAGTTTTCCCTAATATAAATATTTAAACAAGCCATATTTTAAATAGGATCTTTGTCACATGACAGAACATGAGTTTCTGTAAAAAAAAACACTTTCAGGACAAGTTGTATAGTCTGTAATTCTCTTAGAATGGAACTTAAAACATTGATCAATCTGTACAACTACGAAACTATATACAGGTAATATATGTACAGGTAATATATACAGGTAATCCTCGATTTCCAGCCACAATTGAATCCAAAATTTCTATTAAGTGAGACATTTGTTAAGTGAGTTTTACCCCATTTTACAACCTGTCTTGCTTGAGTTGTTAAGCAAATCACTGCAGTTGATAAGTTAGTAACTTTGTTAAGTGAATCTAGCTTCTGCATTGATCTTAAAAGGTGATCACATGACCTTGGGGGGGGACACAGACAAATACACACACACACACAGACACACACGTAGAGCGCATTTAGGCTTATATATCACTTGACAGTGCTTTACAGCCCTCTCTAAGCGGTTTACAGAGTCAGCATATTGCTCCCAACAATCTGGGTCCTCATTTTCCCCAAATTGTTGGAAGGATGGAGGGCTGTGTCAACCTTGAGCTTTTCAGAATTGAACTCCTGGAGTGACCAGTGAGTTAGCCTGCAGTACTGCATTTTAATCACTACGCCACCAC